GTATACGAATTTGTAGTCCGTGAAAAATTCTATCGATAGGTATAAAACTCAGAGTGACTAAACTCTAATTCAGTGCCTTGGATGATTTATATTCGATGTTGACCTCATAGTTAAATGGTATTTCAACCAGAACTTGCTGTTTTTTTACTGTCTATTTATCGGTATACAAGTTGTTTAGTGTGCATCAGGTCACAAGTGCATACATCAAGGAACACGTGTAAAATTTGACAATTATGAATCTTCTCCACGTAAAATGTCGAAAAATTAAAAATGTAATCGAGTCCATAGTCTTTAGACATTTACTAAAACCATCTAAAATATAGTTTCTATCATTATCTTGCTTGTTTTTACACTAACAGATCATTAAGATTCAACTGACTCGATGTGCCTGAAAATCGTTACTCCTCATTTTATATATTATTTTTTTCTGACGAGAGAACTTCTCTAATTGATACTCTGTATTAGAGTTTATATTGTGCTTATAAGTAGAACTCCTAGTTTAGATGAAAGTTCTAAGAGAGTTCGTGCCCTTAGGACATTCTCCTTGAATTATGTTCGTTTTATTGAATTTTCAACATACTGAAGTATATTACAAAACAAAAATTATAATAAGAAATTTCCGCCTGAAAATTTTTTCTAATAACAAATCTCATAGTATTTCTTATATCTTGAAAGTTTCAGTTTAAACTGATGAGTTTTACTCAAAATATAAACTTTTTTGGAAAATTTTGTGAGAAAGTTATGTTTTGTGTAAACATGTTATCTCGAAGAAGAAGCACACGTTTGAGCTAAAACTTTCAGGATATGATAAATACCATAAAATCTATTATTGAAAGAAATCATAAGGGCACAAATCTTCAGGTTTTCATTTAAACTAAAAGTTCTACTTATGAGCAACATATGAATTCTGTCCGATAGATTTCCTTGGAAGATCAAATGAAAAGTTATGATTGAAATTTTTATTAATCTCAATGATTTGTTACAATATTTGAATATCATAAAATTAATTTAATTAATTTTCTTATTTAACTTACCTGCGATATATGGGTGATTGCGTTCGTTAGCGATGTGATTTTGCACAATAAAAATGCGTATATCTCTAGAGTCTGAAATTTCTTTTAGCTAAGTTTTTTTGTAAAAGATGTACGTTGAGTTACTTTAGATATTCTAAAAAAAACTCACCTCGAGAGGCCTTTGTTTCGCTGAGTCATTATTGAGAAACTAGCTTTAGTGATATGACACAAAATCGACAAAGGTTTTTACTACGCACATTTCCATTTACAAGTTTCACAACTTCAAACAATAGTTTCGCAAAATAAATAGTGCAATTTTTAAAGGAGTCTTTAGGATGCAAAATTAATTTTTTCAAAACATTAAGGTTATTTGTAGTTAGCGACGTAAATGAGTACGAATGTAAAAACACAAATTCTTCTCGTTAACTGAATGAGAAGTTCAAAAATCAATACTAAATGGTACAAATCCTCAATGAAGATCTCGATCTGCGATAGGAATAGATTTCAAGAAATCCGATTTGGAGAAGGCAGTTTTTCGAGATTCTATCTTGCTGAAAATTTCATCATAACTATAACTCATGGCGTGAAGCCCAGAGATCTAGCCCAAACTGATTTCCGAAAAGCGAGTGAATGTAAGCATACTCATAAGAAAAATGATTGATTAGACTATCATCTTTTTTTGTAACATTATAATGCTGTGGGCAATAACCAAACGGCGTTCAATCGATTGTTTCACATAATTTAATCTTCGTATAACATTGCATTTTCTCTTCATAACAATTACACTAATTGTGTTCATGACGATAGGTCACTTGTAGACGGTATAATTCGTTAATTCATTTCTCTATTATTTTTCCTCATTGGCTTATGCTGCAAAGAACAGGATGTATGCTCGCCTAATTGACAACTGTATATCATTCGATCACAGAGACCGAACTCGAATCACTAACTAATGACACTTTAATTAATTAATTAAGTTAAATAAAATGTATGTTGAAAGAGTCAATATTGTTACATATGTTCATGGAGAAAAGAACTTGTTCGAAAACAAAGAATAAAATTCAAATCGAAAATAATCATATGCTGTTTTCGCTAATTTTGCACATATTTCTATGTCTTATACAAATTTATTTATCATAGATCAGAAGATGAGACAAGTGGTGATGAAGCTGAAGATAATGAAGACGATGACGAAAATGTCGTTGGTGAAGAAGATAAAGAAGAAGAAGAAGAACAAGGAACAGAAGAAGAAGAGGAAGAGAAAGACAAACAAAGAGAATCAAGTAAAGCAGTAGAAATTAAAAAACTGTAAGTAAATTAAAATTTCGATTTTCTAACAATTACTTTTCTTCTATCTTCTATCTTTGTTTTAATAGTATGAAAAAATCAATAATGGCTATTTTAAATCGACATACAAAGAAAAGGAAACATAATGATGATAGTGAAGATGATGTCAAAGAAAATCAAGTATTTATGTATTTATTTATTTTATTTGTTAATACTTATTTCATTTTTAATAGAATGAAGAACAACAAGAAGAAGATGCTGATGATAATGAAGACGAAGATGAAGAAGATATTGGTAATTAAATAATTTAATTATTTAAAATAAAAAAAATTTTTTTTTCTAGATGATGAAAATGATACAGACTTAGGTAAAATGCTTGATATGAATAGTGATCCAGGTTCATCAAGTGGATGTACGGCTGTTGTTACTCTTCTACGTGATAAACAATTATTTGTTGCTAATGCCGGTGATTCTCGATGTGTTGTATGTCGTAATGGTCGTGCGATTGAAATGAGTATTGGTTAGTATATTTAATCTCTTTTATTATCAATTAATAATTATTTTTATATAGATCATAAACCAGAAGATCCTCAAGAACGTGCTCGAATAGAAAAAGCTGGTTATAAAGTAACATTAGATGGACGTGTTTCAGGTTTGTTTGTTTTTTTATAATTTATTCTTTTAAGAAAAAGAAATTTAAACAAAAAATTCTAGGTGGTCTTAATTTATCTCGAGCTATTGGTGATCATGCATATAAAAAAACTTCTAAATTACCACCTGAAGAACAAGCTATAACTGCTTTACCTGATATACGTACACTAACACTTGAAGATCAAGATGAATTTATGGTAATTGCATGTGATGGTATATGGAATTTTATGTCAAGTCAAGATGTTGTTGATTTTGTACGTACACGTTTGGAAAAGAAAACTTTATCACAAATATGTGAAGAAGTAAGTTTATGTTTTAATATGTGTGTACCAGAGACTGTCATCAGAGCTGAGCAAAACAGTTTGTCTTGCTAATGTTTTTTCATAAATTGATAATTTCATTAGAACTTATGTATATCACACTTATTCTAATTCATCACTATTCAATGCAAACTCTTTCAATTTCGAGAAGATTCGACACCTTTTATCGAATTATAGGCACGTCTAACAAATAATAAAAAAATGAATCTCGATCTGCTACTTAAAGGTGATGAAAGACTTCGACTCAATTAAATCATGATACTCAGTCCCAAGAAATCCTTATTTTCATTGATGAATATCTTGTTTTTGTATGAATATGCAATTGATGTCATGTAATCATGCAATAATAAATTAAAATGACAGTAATTCTTAAATTTTTTTCGTTCAGTTAACAAAACATTCCATAGTCGACCTCAGTTTATATGTTCTGAGAGCGCTCTGCCCTACGCTAAGGACAGGGTGGAGTGGAAAAAAAGTACTCTGTGATGGTCTCTGATGTGTGCGATAAAAAGAAAAGAACTACATGTATGAATATTTAGTTATTTACACATTGTCTTGCACCAAATACAAGTGGTGATGGTACTGGCTGTGATAATATGACAGCAATTATTGTGAAATTTAATTTTAATTCACAATCAACAATAGAAATAAATCAAGAATCAACTGTATTAAAATCAACTGAACATAGTCCATGGCCAACAATGTTTACATCAGTTAATAATAAACGATCATTATCACCTGAACATGCTTTAACAAAAGAAACAAATGATGATGATGATGATGATGATGATATTCATAGCAAAAAGTTCAAAATTACTCCTGAAAATGTTACAAATAATACAGTAACATCACCGTCAAAAACAACGGGTGCTTTTTCTTTTAATGTTGCTACGACAACGAATAACAATAATAATAAAAATAATAATTTAAATGATGATCAACAACATTAATTATCTTAATAATAAACGAAAAAACTTGGCATGTAAATCTATTTTGTGTATTATACATGCTTGCCATTGCTTACTCTTTTCCTGTTCTTTTTTTTGTTTCATTGTAAAACATAGTGAATGGGAAAAACAAAAGATTTTTTTTGATAGGCAATTTTTGTGTATGTGAAAAAAAAAGAAAGATTATATATATATATTCTTTGTTCTTGTATTTTTGTCATTTAACTAACTTCTTTATATTTGTCGATTAGAAATATGATGAATTATAAACTCATTTGCTACAAGAGTTATTTAGACAGGTTTTAACTCTAACAGATGATCGGAAAATTTTTATACAAGATGTTTCTTCACTTTTGATCTGCTGGAAAGTATTAAAAGTTATGAGTTAGGACGAAAAGTTTGTGATTCTTTCAATATGATCTTAGATACTGTTGTGTCGATTTTTGTTTAAGAGTAGTGAAAGACTCTTTGAAAGATCTCAAAAAATTATTTTTAATGGTGAACGAACAGATTTTTATTTACTCTATAAGTCTCTTTTTGAACATGCGAAAAGTTGTCAGAGTCGGCCGTTTTGTACAGCAGACACTTCTTTATAAAATGTGATATTGAAGTAAGTTGTAACTTTTTCACAGTCATTTTTTCAAGAGCTTCTTTCAAAGTAAATCGGTTGTCGATTTTTTCAAAAAATGAGTATTTAGGAAAAAGCGAAAATTGAAGTGTCTTGTCGACAGACAAAAAAAAACCTTCAAATAGTGCATTTTATGCAGAACGCTCCGATCTACAGACTAATATGTAAATAAAGATCCTAACTTTTAGTTTCAAAAACGCAATAGTAAAAATAAAAAAATTTTCCGTCCAAACTAATTTTTTTGAATTTTCAAATGTTATTTCACTACTTTCGAACAAAATTTCTAAGCTCATATTCCAAAAGAATACAAGATTTTAATCCTAACTCATAGCTTTTGATATTTTCTAGCAGGTCAAATATGGACACACATTTTGTCTAAAAACTTTTCGATCATCCGTTACAGATATTAGTAAGTAGATTGATTATTTACCAGTATTTTGATACATATGAAAATCAAAAATATAAGATCAACGCATTTTTTGAGTTTTGTTTTCCACAATATCAAACATTTAACTTAAATTTAAATAGTGATTTGAATAGCTAATGAAGTTCTCTATCAAATACATTTCGTACAAAAATTTCGTAGATAAAGTATGAGAAGAACATTTCTGGTAACCCAAACACGGTAGTTTTCAGGTCTCCGAAGACTACGAAAATTAATTTTTAAGAGTATCATCTTAAAGAGCACAAAATTATAATTAATATGAGGGATTTCTCCATTTCCTATGACCTTCTCGTAAAAAGTTATAAGTATCACAAAAAATTGAAAAAAAACCGAAATTTATCGTAGCATTGCTAAAAATTGTTTCTTTTTGCTTTTTTTTTATGATACTTATAACTTCTTAGGGGAAGATCGTAGGAAATACGGCAACCACTTTATTCAGAATTCTGTGCGCTTTAAGATAATATTCTTAAAAATAAGTTTTCATACAGTCTTCTAGGCTCTGAAAACTACCGTGTTTGATTTTTTTAGAAACCTTTCTCTCATAGAGGATTCTTGAAATTTCAGTATGAGATGCATTTGATAGAGAACTTCATTAGTTTTTCTAACCACTATTTGGATTTGAGTTAAATGCTTGGTATCGTAGAAAAAAAATCGAAAAATGCGTTGATCTTATGTTTTTGGCCAGTACTATATCTTTGAAAAGAAAAAAAAACTAATTATGTCTGAATAATAATGATGCAGGGCGCGTTTATAATTCTTTTTTCATTCAAAGCTTTTTTACGCGCTTTATTTACTAATTCACCACAGTTGCCTCGATACTAATTCACTCACACATTCTCTCTCTCTGTGTATATATCAAACATTCATTCTCATTTTAATCAAAAATTTTACCATCAAATATCTTCTGTTTTTCGTCTAATCTATCATAAACAAGAACTACTATATTCTATTGTTGTATTGGAAAAAAATGGCTCGATCAACCAGTAACAATCAAAATACTACACAACAAGTTCGTGGTCGAATAACCAAAGCAAAAAATGTTGGACGTACATCGTAAATATTTCTATTGTCCATGATCATATTTATTCTATGAATAATTGATAGAATTCAAAAACGACCATCAACAACTCGAAATAGTAACACGAACAACAAACAAACCAATGCACGTAATCGTACTCATTCTTCTATTCGTGCTATTTCAACAACACGTAGTCGTTTGAGTACTAATAATCATAAACGAAGTCTATTAGGTAGTAATAACAAGAGTCGATCATCAATCCGAAATGTTCATGCACTAAATAATAGTGCAGTTCGACATGGACGTTCAACAAATGCATCACGAGGAACAAGTAGAACAAAAAAGAATTTACCATCTGCCGATGCACGAAAGAAAAAGACGAAATACATTACGGGTCGTTTAAATAACAAGAAAAAAAATACAATACGTGGCAAGAATAATAACAATAATAACCGACAACGACGACAATTAGGACGTGATCAACAAAGTAAAAAAAAACGTGTTTTTTTTTTGACAATGATACTTTTTAATTGATATTCATTATTTTATTTATGTGTTCATAGAGAAAAAGAAAAAAACAACAAGTGTTTCATCTTTAATATCGGCAACACCATCAAGTTTAATTCGACCTGATGATGATTTTCATCGAGAATCAAATTTTGGAACGAATGAATAAATAAATAAATCAAATATGCCGATTTGATAAGTCGATTTTTGTCGATGTCGATTTTAAACACTTTTTTTCGTCTTATTTTTCTTTGTTTCCTTTTTTTGTGATCGGGAGCCATTTGCATCCATTTCAATTAAAATAAAATAAAAACTAAATAAAATGATCTCCATAGGTTTTAATTCAATCAAACTTTTATTGTCAAGAGAAGACTGATTTCATCAGTAGATCATTATTTTGATCGTGTAGTGTGAGATGTGGAAAAAACAGATAGATAGAGAAAAATTCCATAATGTTAAACATGCTGCAGTTTAGATTCGAATAATTCGGATGTAACGAAGATTATCTAATTTTAGCAATGCGTTGAGAAAGATTTGAATTTTTACCTATCTTATAATAAATCGTACCGATATTGTGACAGCAGATAGCAAAATCATTTTTTGACAATATTAAAATTTTTTCCTCATAGATAGTTTCTATTATAACATTTGAATTAAGATAATCATGTGCATAGATATATAATAAATAAATGGTTCAATGCAAATCTGTTTTATATGCATGGATGACTATATTGTTTTTCACCAATTAAAATAATTCTTTGTTCTTGCTCAATAAATATATCTATGCTTGCTTGATATGATCAACAGATATCATAAACATATTTAAATCATTATTGTAGTGTCTTGCATGGATACGACCTTTCTCAATCGGACTCGAACTCAAGCTAATCGACATCTGGCATATACTTTCATAGTTATAGTACGGTTTTCAAGCTTTGATTTTATATGAAAAAGTAGACTATCCAATTTCTTCCATGAACAGCAACAAAAAAGGCAATTCACTTGAGGTCTTTCTGCTTTCAAAATTCGATCAATTTCGATAAATATACTTTTGTTGTTGTTGATGACGTTGAAATGAAACGCAGTGTTGATGTCAAACATTGTAATTATGGATGCGTACATGAATTCTTTGTCCATCACGATAAAACACGTTCACCTTTTCTAATAATTCATTTTCCTATCCATGTATTCACTTATTTTATCAATATAATTCATCATCATCTGTAGATGAATTTTCATTAAAAACAAATTCTTTTAATAAAACAATATTACTTTTCACTTCTGTGATCTTTTCTTAAGTAAAATAAATTACTCAATGATGATCGAACCGGTTTTCACTCCTATACTAGCGGACAAGTTTAGAGCAGTTGTATTTTTATGTTTTCTTCTTGATAATAATAGTTAGCAAGAATATGAAAAAACATTTGTGTAACTAATAGAATTCTCTATTAGAATTAATAGGCTCGAAGACTCTAACAATTCTGTTTGAATGAGAGTCTGCGGAAAATCAAGACCTTCAAAGCTAACTTTCTGGCTTCCATTCAAAGTTTTTAAGAAAAGATTTTATTTGATAGAACAAATAATTCTGAGCAAGATGAGATGCTTCAGATCTCTTCATAACTTTCCTTCATCGGACAACATGCCATTTACAAAAGGCTCTAAAACGTCAAACATGGCAAAAGCATTGAAATCTTCAATAAAAAGAAGAGAAATATGCTTCTTGCACTGTCTGTAAATTGAATGCAACTCGACGAAAGAAAGCCATGGAGAGATCGGAGATGAGACATCTTGTTCAGAATTATTTATTCTATCAAATAAAATTTTTGAATGGAAGTCAGAAAGCTAGTTTTTGATGATCTTGCTTTTCTGCAGATCCTCATTCAAGCAGTTTTGTTGAAGTCTTTGGGCCTACCAATCTTAATAGAGAATCCTTTCAATTGCAAAAGTATATTTTCATAGTTTTGCTAGCTATTACCATCGAAAAGAAAACCTAAAAAAAATAGAAAAGTATATACAAACATTTTTTTAATTTATCCATTGTTTGAAAAACAAGTTGATCTTTCAATAGAAATAATAATTGATGAATAAAATACTTGGTCTAGAAATTTATGAAGTTATATAAAGACAACTAAAATTTGTCTGTCTGTGATTTATTAATCGATGCTTATTTTATTTCCAATTGTTTTATCTTGTATCAACAGTTATCTATTTTCTTTTTTTGCACACAATTCAAATTTTTCGTTTCAAGAATATAAGAAACGTAATGGGTTTGGAGTACCTTTTTTTTTTCTTTCTATTCCAGTAAGATTCTAGTCACTTATCACTGTCATTTTAAGTTTTATGAGAAAAAATTCACTTGTATTGCCTGCAGTTATTTGAGTGTTTTTTTTTTCTCTTATATTTGAAACCGAGAATAAGTAATGGTTGTCGCGTATAGATCATGTCAAAAAGACACACATTCTCTTTTTTTATACTCTTCAAGTCATTGTCAATGACCATCCGCGTGGAAATATAGAAACAATGTTTTTCACTTTGCACTGCCTTGAGGCTTTACTTCTGGTTGAGTAACTAGACTGCCTAGTTTTCTTCTTCGTCTTTTTTATCCTTTTTTCTTTTTTTTCTTATTCCTCATTGGTTTGAGTCAAAAAGTGTCTTGCCTTTCTAACAAATCATGGAACGAGGAATGGCAAATATATGCTCACATTATGTTAACCATGACAAGTGAAAAAAATGAGCGACAGAGAGGAAAAAAAAATAACTAACTGAACATTTTTCTTATTATTTATTCATTAATATCAATGCGTGTTTGCAATGTAATATGAAACGACTTCAAAAAAAAAAAAAAGAAGTGTATGTCACAAACTCAGCATTATTGTTTCAAATAGAATTGCTCGAATGACTAAACAGTTAGATATATATATATATGTGATGAGAGAAACAAACTCATTGCAGCAAATGGATCTTCAATTATCGATCTCTTCTCTCGGACTGTTCACGTTTTTTTTTTTCGTACTAGATGAATAATAAATAATTTACCTGGAATAACATTGCCGTGATGCTTTTATAGAATAAAAAAGAAATTCGAGAATCGGTTATTTTACTAATGTGCCGTGCATGTCTACATCTATCAAAAAGATAACAAATCGTCATAAAGTGTCTAATCTCTTTGATAATATTCTATGAGCAAAAAAAGAAAAAGAAAAACATATGTTAGTGAATGATCAATAAAAAAAAAAAAACTAAAGGGAGATGTATTTTCTCTAAATACATTTGATAGTTAAAAAATCTAGAATAGAAAGAAAAGATGTAAATGGAAGAGATAGTTTTTTTTTGTCTTCACGCTTACTAAATTGTTACTAAAAAGGAGAGAAGACAATAAAGACGGAAAGAGTAAACGCATAAAAAAAAAGAAGAAAAAAAGGAGAAAAAGAAAGTAGTGATAAGAAGAAGCAGAAGATCATTTGAAACGGAAAAGCTAGTGAGACACGCACACATCCATTCGATCTAGTCTCAATCTCTCTAGTCAAGTGTTTAAAAGTAATTTTTGCTGGAGGCTATCGACGTATTTTCTTTTTTGTTTATAACTACAAAAGAGAAAAAAAAAATATATCTATATATTCTAAACGATTATGCCAGGTAAGACTTAATGTTGAAACATTGAAAAAATTAATAAAAAAGTCAATCATCATTTTTCAATATGTTAATTGATCTTATTGAAAAGAACTATGTTGTTTTTTAATTCTCATAGGTGAACGTTTGTTGAACGTTTTATGTGCTGTATGTGGTGATCGATCGTCTGGAAAACATTATGGAATCTACAGTTGTGATGGTAATTTTTTAATTTTTAGTTTTGTTTTTGAGTTCAAATAATTATAGTAATGAATTAATAGTTAATCTTTTCATTGGCGCTGAAGTTCATTAGAGGTCGTATTGGCTCATTTTTGAATATTTTCTGTTGAGAATCCTCAAAAAAATATTTCAGATAGGATATTAGAAATATAGATTATAAAAGCTAAAGATACAACGATTGTAAAATAATTTTTAGTATTGCTTCATTCGCATGCGAAAGATTTGTTTGACAATCTAAGGACAATTAATAATTTGAAAAATCTTTTTTTTTTATACAATGCTGTAGGTTTTATAAAGAAAGTTGAGCATTATTTGTATAACGAAAAAAAGACTACAAAAAATTATAGAGAAATTTTTTTGAAAGCAATTTATTGTACCAATGAACACAATCAATTAACTAAGAAAGATAACCAATCATATTTCGTTTCATTGAACATCAACATATTCATTTTTACTTATATAATGTCTGATTGTAAAAGTATTTATATTTATGTGTAAATAATATTCGAAATTGTCTAGTTATTATTATCGACTTTGATCATAGAATATTTTTAATCGATTTTATTCGTTTAGGTTGCTCAGGTTTTTTCAAACGAAGTATTCATCGACATCGTCATTATGTATGTAAAGCTCAAGGTGAATTGAAAGATAAATGTCCTGTTGATAAGACTCATCGAAATCAATGTCGATCTTGTCGATTAGCTCGATGTTTCTTAGTTAATATGAATAAAGATGGTAATAATATACTAGATATTTTTACTCGATTAAAAAAAGAAAATAAACTTTTGTTTATATAGCGGTACAACATGAACGTGGACCACGTAAAGCAAAACAGAAAATTCTCAGCGTTTCCAATATGATTTTACCGACTTCAACTGGAACAACAGCACCGCCTGTTGCTTGTTCATCATCTCCAACAATAGCAAATGTTTCAACTACATCAATATCGAATCATTTTAATCGAAAATCTAAACTTCTTCCAACACAACAGCATCAACTATCTTGTTTACCAACAATCGAGAATTACAATCCATTCCCAACTATCATTAATCAAGTAATTAAAAAAACATAAACTTAATTTTATTTATTGATTAATCATATTCTTCATTTGAATAGATAACATTATATGAAGCAGCAGCACGTCTTTTATTTACTATAACAAATTGGTTAGAAACAGTCCCTTCATTTAAAATTCTTCCTAATGATGATCAAGTATACTATTCAGCTAGAATAATCAAATATTTTAGTTTTTCTGTTTGTTATGTTATTTTAGCGTTCACTTCTAGAAGATAATTGGCATTATCTTCTTATAGTTAATTTAAGTCAATGGATGGTACCTATAATGGCTATTCAATTAACAAACAGTACACTTACACAAACAGATCAACTAGAAATACAACGTATATGTGATTGTATTTATAAATTACGATCACTTACATTAGATGCTTATGAATATACTTATGTTAAGACTCTTTCACTTTATCAATCTTCAGGTAGATTTAGAATCAAAGTAAAAAGATATTAATTAGGATTTTCTTATTTTCATAGCTAAACCATTAATTAATCAAAGTCATATTGATGCTTGTCAAGAACATGTTCTTTTTGTATTACGTACAAGTTTAATGTCTCATTCAGCAACAACATATTCAATAAAATTTAGTCAACTTATTGGTATCATTCAAATGATGAATCAGATATCATCAAATAGTGTACAACGTATTTTATTTCCAAGTATAACACATGATGTACCGGTTGGTAAAATTCTTTGGGAACTTTATCGATCAAAATCTAGTGAAACAACAATATAAAAACTCATTATTACTTAAATAAAACATTTCATGTTTAATTCTAGTCACTGTTTTTTTTTCTTTGCCTTTCCTTCGTTTTTTTTCTCAAATATAAATAAACATAACACAAAAGTTTTTTCACCTATATGTTTTATTCTTCAATACTTAAATGTACACATTTGAATTTTGTAGAATTCAATGTAGACAATTAATTCGAACTAAGAGCAATAATTTGAAGAAGAAAAAAATTGAATAAGTTCCTCCTCGCAATAGAAGGCATCTCCCTTGATTCATTAACCTCTCAAAAAATTGAAACTTGAACTAGTATCGGCGCGGGGCTTAAAGGTACTCGGTTGTAAATTGAATAAGTCGAGAATGCAAGCAATTAGCGGTCTGCGGTTTTCAGCAATCGAAAGAGAAGACATGGCAACGTCTTCTTCTCCGATAATATGTAGGACAAAATCATTTTGAAACCAATGATTTCCTTAAAATATTCAAAAAAATTTATAAAAATGGTCTATCATTCCGATGCTATTTTGTTTGTGGCATGTCTTGTAGGTAGAGAAACTTGAGATCTATATAGTTTAAGAAGCAATTTGAATGATTATCTTCTTACATCCTAACACTGAGTAAATAAAAATTGTATACCTGTTTGATCAAATAATATAAAATTTTATTGATTTTTGAGCACATTTTCTTATTTGTTATCAAAATTTCATCGTAATGACAGATCACTTCCATACATTGTTTTTGAATGTTTTGTAAAAACTATTGGTTTTAAAATAACTGCTTGCGTTCTCGACTTATTCATTTTTTAACTGAGTATCTTTAAGTCCTGCACCGACATTAGTAAGTGAACTTTACTGCTGGCTATAATAATCTATCGATTATCAACCAAACCACGATCCTTGATAAGAAAAATCAACACGCATGGTATGATTACATGTAAAAAGAAAACTATTATAATAATATACATGCAGAACATCTCTTATATGAAGTAAAAATGGAGTATTTCTCTCAATTCTGATAACAATTCAATTTTAATAACTAATTTTTTTTAAACAACCATTTCGTGATTGTTTACATAAAATAAATACACCAATCGATGATATTTTATCATTCATTGTATGAAACTATTTGCATATGTTTCGTGAATTTGAGATTTTTGATAGATGAATAAATTAATTGAAAATCAGTAGAATATTATTTTTTCTAAGTCCTATTGCAAACGTTTTGAGATAACACATTCGTTCATTTAAAAACAATAAATAAGAATTTTAAAAATTTTATTAGAACCAAAATTATAGGATCTTTCTGAATATGTATTCAGGGTTATTGTCTGGCTTTACTGTGATTCAATGTTTGAAAGAACTGAAAATGATTTCTGTGCAAAATTTTGTTTTCGCTTATGTCATATTTGGATTATAACTTATTCAAATCAAAATATGAAATAATTTTCAACTTTCCAATTTTATAGAGCAATATGTGCTTTATAAAAAGTGTTGTTTAGTTTTCTTTTGCATCTCGCAGCAAAACATTTAAAATCTATTACACTGTAATAGATGAATTAACAAAAGTCGATTTTTGTTTTAGTTCTGCAATACTTCATTTTATAGAGAATCAAATACTGTATTACACTAGATAACATATGAGTTAAACCCACGGTGTGAGCTCGGTGAGAAGCACATCGCCAAACTGGACTCATCGTTTATGAGATTATAAAACTTTTAAATTACTCAAAATGTCAAATTTAAGATATATTATTCAAGATTTCCATCAGAAATATTTCTTATTCTATGCATAAAGGTAGATTATTCTACGCCGCCATCAGAAGGATTTATTATTCTCAACACAAAGATATATTACTATTTGTTTTCATTTGGAGGATTTATCATTCTATACATATACTGGAAAAATGAGGTCACTACGAAACTTATGAAATTACGCATCAAAGTAATTTTTTTTCTTGTCTCATCTATAATACTAATAGATGTCTATCAATCAGAAACTCGACTGATCTGACTTTGTTGTTCTGCTAATCTATTTGCATTCACTATAAAATTGATTTTGGAAATTACATCACTGTGTTTAGGTTTCATAATCTCCTATACGATATCTATTGCTAGGCCAATAGAGAACGGTTCACTTGTGCAACAATCACATCTTGTTCTTCGCTGAATCCTAATGTGGTTTGAAATTTGCTGAAAGAAACATGGAATTTGTGATGGACCGATTTTTAACGCAAATTAATTAACGTAAACTTTAAGTAGCTTTATCTAAAGATTAATGTTAATAAAAACACGGACAGCATGTATCACATGATTCTTTAATGTTAACGTTTAACGAGTCATTTAGCTTTTGATGCCCCTCACCATTAGTCTCTCTAAGTCGACAAGAGAGCAATGATGATAGAAGTAATTAATAATGGTTCTAATAATGATCATCAAACAAGTAAATGAATATTCGATACTGTAACAAGACGCTATCTCGAATGTTCAAGTAGAACAGATATCCTGGTTTTTATTGGAATGTCCGGAGGCAGTAGTAAATGTACACAAGTACTTGCAGAAAAATTATTCAAATCAACAACTACAATTCATTCAACCTTTAAATTCTACATCTAAATGTAGGCACCTACTAAATGAAAATGAAAGTTCGATCAACAATGGAAGTGGTCGACGTAAACATCCTCGAAAGTATTCTCATAATGTACAACAAGAAATTACTTCACAGCTACAACAACCATCGTCTACAATGTCGTCAGAGGAACGAAAACAACAAGCGCTAAATCAAGATGCTACAAATCATAAACGAATTTGTTTGAAACAGCTGAAGCATGCGGTATCTTCTAATCTACCATGTTTTCTTATTGAATTCATCTCGGATGCTGATCGCAATAGTATTCCATCAGCTCTTCATGCAAGCGATCTTGTATTTAAAAAACTACAATCGATGGGTGTTTTATTCAATCGGTTTACATTAGTCGGATGGCTAGAGGAAAAGTTAAAGCTAGATGCGAGTAATAAAGAAGATTACACTATTCTCATGGGTACGGATAAATGGCCAACAAAGATAAATGGAATCGATATGTAGTCGTAAAACCAAAATATATTCCGGACTCTTTCGCGCTTGTCGTTCGATATGTCCCTACTGAACTAGATGAAAAGTTTGTTGCAAACAAAATATAACGAACAATTGCATCTGCTGATCGAGTAAAACGTATTCATTATGCCCATCAAAGAAAAGCATATGATTATCGTTTCGATGTAAAAGATTATAGTGAATACAATGCTGCATTGCAACTGGGCCGCATCGCAATAGGTGATTCATGGTTATCGATTACTAAGTTTTGTCTTGACAGCCGTTTAACTTACTACACGAAATGTTGGTGTATAGAATATCTAAGAAATGAGTGTAATTCAGCAGGCAAATATCGAATATGTCTCGAGAATCTTAGCATCGATGATCCACATGTATGTAAAAATGGATCGAACTGTGCTCAATGTGATGGAAAACATCATTCATTGGACAGTCAATATCAAGTTATACAAGAATATAAACATCGATTGAAAGAAGACGTCAAAGATGCGATAAAACGAGGTTTATTACATTGATTCTCACTACAAGAAAAAGCTCCTTCATTCGAACTACGTGATCAAGACTTTTCACCATTAGTAGCAAATGATAATCAGTCTAATAAAAACATGCAATATTACGTAACCACATACAACTATTCATTCGAACATTTTAGGCACATCAAATACAGAAAAAACAATGGAATTCATCAATGTTAATCTGATGAAACTTAACGATAATAACAAATGGCTAGAAAATAAAGTTGATCAACTACTATCAAGCTTGAAAACTGTTACTCTCGATATTCAATTACATCAAGCAGTCTTAGCCGATACTATCAATATTATGAAAGATTTTATTCAGTATTTTATACCCACATCGTTAACTTGTAGTAAATTCAAAAGATCATCTTTGGTACCCGTTGCACAAGAATATTATAATCGCTTTCATATAGTATCTACAAGATTGAGTAATAGGTTACAATTAAATCGAAAATTTGCAGTAACTTCATCTTCTCCTTATTAAAACATCATTCAACTTGGTCAATTGTCTACTTTCGTGCCTTCAACATCAGCTAAATCCACTTCAAGAATGGTAAACTCATCAAGCTCACAAAACAGATCATCACAGAATACAAAGTAGGTAGAATGTCAAATCTCAATATTCACGTTAAAGTCTTTTTTCCTTCTTTTTCTAAGAATTATTTGTTAAGTCCTAGAGATGAAGCTATGCACTGGTTGAGAATTTGGAATTTTTCAGCAAAAGATCAAAAATTAGTATTATCTCTGTTCGATGAATGATACATAAGTAGAACTTTAAATGTAGTGTTACAATAGTAGGAAGATGTTGGAATAGCTTCTTCCCAAAATCGAAAAGAATATGTAAAGATTCGATATTATAATGTCGAAGGTTGGGGTGCATCTGGACTTGAAGCTATTGATTTAGTGTATAAAATTCAAGCTTCTATTTGTATTTTTACAGAAGTAGTGAATTTATGGAACACATGTCAATTACCACATATTAACACGTTCTATCAAAAGGGCACCACCAAACATGAAAGAGTGTGTATAGCAGTAGAAAAGAATTTGAAAGCAACGTGCACCGAGGTCAATATTCAGAACACGGTTGTTATTGATATAACAGGTCTCTTAGAGCCAGTACGTATAATTGGTATTTACTGGCCCACCAGTCAACAGCGTGATTTGGATAGCATTCTTTCTTATGTAGTAGAAGGTACCATACTATCAGGTGACTTTAGTGCAATAGTGAAGGAATGGAGTAGTCTGATAACAGATAGAAGATGTGCGCGTGTGAAAGAATGGATTGAAGAGAACAACCTCAATTACATACCAACAACATTACACACAACAAAGCTCTCCCTATGTAATATGGATTTGTCGTTCTCAAATATAAGTACTATTTCAAATGAAACATTGCATTTTGGC